TGGTTTAGGTGGTGTTGGGGAGTAAGGTGTAGAGGGTGGTATCCAGCCGCTTTCTGACACAACATGGTGTGTCTCTAGAGTTAGAGATAGGTCATACACAGGTGATCTAAGTGTCATGGTTGGTTTTTTGGCAACAGATGGCCAGGCTTACAAGTGACCATGGGATTGCATCGTAGCTGGAACAGCTTATTGTACACCCTCATTCACAGGTCCTAATTCTCCGTCAAATTCCAGGTCCTTGGTACTATGGTAACCTGATCTTCCCTTTGATCTCCAGCCGATAGGCCAAGGGATCTTATACGCAGACCTTGTAGGGTTGGGCACATAAATATCACGTGGAAGGCTGTCTCCTCCTCCTCACCACATTTCCTACATAAGAGGCTTTCTATTTGAATTCCCATCTTGTGTAGATGTTCTTGGAATACCCAATGGCCGCTGATGAAGCCAACCACCTTCTGCAGGGTCTTCCTATTCAGCCCAAGAGCATCTGTCACTATCGCACTGGTAGGTGTCTGCATTATTCTCTTTGACTGTATGTTGCCTTCTGTTCTTTCTCAGCTCCTTCGATGTTCTATGCCTCCGTGCTGTGTTGTATGCAATACCACACGTTGGCTCTAGACCCATGAGCGGGCTTTCAGCTCCTTTGTTTGCCCACTTGTCAGCTCCCTCATTGCCAGCAATTCCTTTGTGTCCTGGAACACAACTAAGGATAACCAGCTAATCTCTTGATGTTCTCTCCCAGGGCTTTCATGGCCTGATGAAAGTCCCATCCTGCCTTAGAGGTAAAGTCAAAACTGTCAAGTGCCATTAGTGCTGCTTTGCTGTCCGAGTTCATGTATATGGTGTGGCCTGTCAGACCACACTTCAAACACACTCTTGCATACTCGGACAGGGCAACAACTTCTGCCTGGAATACAGTGGCCAGTTTCCCCAGGCTTACGCAAAACTGCGCCTTGGGTCTGACTCTAAATATTCTGGCCTCAGTGCCCGTTGGCTTTTTCGAGCCATCTGTATACCAAGTGATCCCCCTTATCATGTATTCAGGTTCGCCTTCAGCCCAGGAAGCCCTGTCAACAATGTTGAAATTGTATGGCTTTTCTAGATCTGTGATCTTCACAATCCTGTCTAGTAATATTTTCAAGGTGTCCATCTGCACATTGTCCACAAGGTATGCTCACTGAAGGCATTATACTTCCAGATGCCACTGCAAACTATCTGTAGGCTGCCATCCTTGTCTCCCCTTTCACAATGATGTAAGTGGGAGGTTTAGCACTACTTACAGGGCTGCAGTTGGAGTGCCTCTCATGGCTCCTGTGATGCTAAGGTATGCCACTTGCTGGATCTTTTGTAATCTCTTTGCAGTGGTAGTTTGCATTACCTTGGTCCACCAGACTACCGAGTCATACACCATCATTGGTCTTGCAACCCTAGTGTATAGCCAGTTAGTCATTTGTGGGCTTAGACCTCAGGTCTTCCCAACAGTCTTATCATCATAAGTGTAGTGTAGGTGGTCCAGCCTTATTCCTCCTAGGTACTTGAACTCCCTCTTAACCTGGATCTGATTACCAAAGAAAGTTGGTACGCTAGTGGTGACAACGTTTCTCTTCCTTGTAAATGGTACCATTACAGTCTTCATTGGATTCACCCTCAGATCTTCCTGGTTTCACCATCTTTTCACTATCGACAATACTCTCTTTGGGCCTTGACCTCTCTCACAGTCCCACACAGAGAAGTTTGTGCTCTCCTACTTTCGAGCATATTGCCTACCCATTTTACAACAGTGCTTTCCACATTTCCTGATACCAGCTTTGATACAATAGAGCGAGTACTAGTGTTGTCAGAAGCTCCTTCTATATCAAGAAATGCAGCCACCGCTATTTACTTGTTCGAGATAGCATTTTCAATCCTGCAAACCAGTGCATGGAGGGCTGTTTCACATGACTTTCCTTTCTGATGGGCGTGTTGGTTGGACCCTATCCTTTATTTTTTATTATTTTTTTTTTTTTTTAGAGGTTGGCGGCCTCTTTTAACCTTGCATCCCCAATACGGGACGGGGGGGTTGTGGCCCGTCCACATAGACTACAGATTTGTGTGTGGAACGTATCCAGCAAAGCAAGGGGTGAGCCGGTACAGTACAAAGGTGAACTGTACTGATAAAAGTTAGTGGCAGTGACCAGGATCCGAACCCACGACACTATACTGCCTTGGTCTTCAGGAGGAACGATGTAAGGGTGATAGGTCTAAAAGCCTTACTTAGATCACCTGTGTATGACCTATCCCTAGCTCTACACACCAAGTTGTTTGTATGTATTAGAGTGACTGTACTATCACTGTGTACTCTTGTCCACGCTACACTGGAGTAGTGGAGAAGTTTAATTATCCCCCTGGCATTTACTCTTAAATAAAGCTGATGTCACAGCCAAGGGCGTAAAACTCACTTGCGATCTTTTGAGTTGCACAACATAAGTTAAACAAATTAATGCTTTTTACAGTTGTAAATTTAAATAAAATATATCAAATTAAAATACCAAGAGTGTACATTTTGGAATTTTACCCTATGATGAGTTTAGCTCAAATTCTTTGACCCAGAATTTTACCCCCAGGAAATTTACCTACAGGCAACCAAAGCAATCTCTATGTCCTGGACCCCTCCCCCTCCCCCCCAACATGGAAAATCTATTTGGTTCACTTGTTTTCATAAATTCATGTTATTTAAGGTTTTCTTAATTTTAATTCATGTAAGTGGTTAAAACCATTACATAACCTGGTAAAATTAAAATATATATGAGGCACTGCACATACAGTGTGGTAGAAAAGTCCCGAAACGGTTAAATATTTTAAAAAACAATGCAGATAGAGCTCAAATACTTGGTACAAAGTTACAGGGCATATAACTCTATTTTAACACATATTCAGTGATCCAATAATTCTTCAGGGGGACGGCCCACAAGGAGTTGGAAGAAAATCTTAAATGGAAGCATAGGTCAATATGCACATCAAATTAAAGGTCTTTTTTAGTAGAATACAATGCCGCAAACCGCACTTCAAAAGGTTGATTCTGCGCAAAATGGCAGATGTTCAAAGATTTCTTGAATCCGCCATTTTGAATCTTTGAACGACTGCCATTTTTTACTCAGGCATTCTTTTGAGCTTGAATTTACGGCATCGTAATCTAAAAGTGAAGACCTTTAATTTGATGTGCATATCGACCTATTCTTACCTTAACAATTTTCTTCCGATTCCTAGGGCTGTGCTCCCTGAGGAGAAAGCGTATAATAGCAATGTAAATTAAATGAATCTTTGAACAACTGTAATTTTGCGCAGGATCAACCTTTTGAAGTGCGGTTTGCGGCATTGTATTTTGCTAAAAAAGACCTTTAATTTGATGTGCATATTGACCTATGCTTCCATTTAAGATTTCCTTCTGACTCCTTGTGGGACGTCCCCCTGAAGAGTTATTGAATTACCGTACTGAATATGTGTTAAAATAGAGTTTTATGCCCTGTAACTTTGTACCAAGTATTTTAGCTCTATCTGCATTATTTTTTAAAATATTTAACCGTTCCGGGACTTTTCTACCACACTGTATGAATATAAGCTGTATAATGATACAAAAGTAAAAATGTCCGCTCTGCGTACTCTTACCCCGTGCGCACTCCTGCCCCCCAGTTACGCTATTGCTTTTTTAGAGTGCTTTATAGTGTATTTGTTGTTGTCAGTGATCCCACCTTTGAGCTATATTATATGAACTAAGAATAAAACAAGCAGGTCTTTGACCTAGGGATGAATTGTTTCATAGCTAAGTACAAGTAATGTGTAGCGATCTGCTTACACATTAATCTAAGTTATTCCTAAAACACACTGTGTAGTTTCAGTAAATAATATATGAAACAATAAAGATTTCTGATTTCTATAACCATAGGAAATAGTTAATTATTAAAAATTTTTTGTAAAGAATAATAATGTTTAAAAATCAACGTTTTCTCAGCCTAGTATCGAGCAGTTTGTGGTAACTGGAGGACCAACCTTTCTTGTCTTACTTCTATCTTCTCAATCAAACTGTATCACGAAAAACTGCATTCTATGGAAAAAATTAAATGAAGGACAGCACTGAAACTTGTGATGATATGAGATTTTAAAACCAAAATACATGAATTTGATCACAAATACTTTATTGAACGTACATTCAGATGCTAATTATATCAATAATATTACATATCTACAAAATATTACTACAGTTACATTTACAAAAAACTGTTATGAACACATGAAACAACTATATTTAATTTATGGTACAAGCTAGCCTCGGGATGGTTTAATTGACAGAATATTATTCTTAACATCATTACGTATGCAAACTACAAGGCTACCAACAGTTAGAGAAAATGCAACAGCTGTTCAATGTTTACACTTTTCAAACCTATACAACCCCAAATAAATAATTGTTTTCTACCTCATTATTAGCTGGTCGGTACTAATATGTATAAAAATAAGGATACATATATAAATAACAGACACATAAAAGCTTTATAAAATGTTCAGCAATTTAGATTTTTAAATAATTTACTTTTATAATTCCTATATTTATAAAGTAAATTGAATGATTACAAGAAAACTAAAAAATGGAGAATATAAAGAATTTCACTACAGTAATTGCAAACTTATTAGGAACAGTAATCAATCAAAAACAATATTATGATTTTTGTGTACTACTTATGAAGTGCTGTGTACTAAAGGTTAGATGTAGGCATATGCATTCAACCAATGGTAAAAATTTCCCAAATATTATTTTTCATTACAAGGAGGAAGACGGAAAGTAAATAAAGATACGTCTTATAACACTTAAAACATATATTTACGCTTATACTGTTACTCAAAAGACGGTAAATATACAAAAGATGGTAAGTGGTGATCGATATTCGCCTATTGGGTCTGATGATGATTGGAGTGTGAAATCGATCACCACTTACCATCTTTTGTATATTTACTGTCTTGTGAGCAACAGTATAAGCGTAAATATATGTTTTAAGTGTTATAAGACGTATCTTTATTTAATTTCCGTAAATTTAATAACACGTACAATGCTGATCAAGAAGTTATTTAAGGAGGAAGAGTGGCTACATGTGTCATTCAGGTTTTATGAATAAAAGGCATAAGCAAGCTCGTAAAACAAGAACCCAATATACATCTATGAACTATTTTATTTAACACAGCAAAAATATTCCATAAAAAAATTGAAAATGTAAAATAGGCAATTCGGTTTTGTTAATGTACATTGTACAGCCTTGTCACAGTACTCACACTTCTGTTATTTGCTGATAAAACAAGGCATACTATGAGCAGAAGTCCAATATAATTTTGACTGAAAACAGAAATAAAAGAAAAACTAAAGAAATGTTTGAGGTTTGTGCACTTACAATAATCCCACAACTTATTTTAAAATAAATTGTTTAAGGTTAGCGAAAAGAACAATGTTTCTGATTATTGTAAATGCAAAAAATGACTACAAGTTGGCTTGTGCAACACATTCACTTTGTCCCAAAGAATGGCAGACTTAAGAAATTGTAAATGGTCTGATTCATTCATATTAGCTAAACAAGATTGAAACCATATTAGGAGATAAGAAATAAAGGGAAACAATGCACAACGTAGGTTGGTGCAGTATGGGAAAAATGTGGTTATCACTGGAGCCAAAAGTCATTCTCGACCCTAGAGACACTTCCGCCTAGTAATAGATAGAACTCATTTATAGTAAAAAAATTATAAACACTAACTTCATAAAAAACAGTAGGTAACTGTGAGATTCAAATACAAATTTTAATAATTACTTAACTAAACCTGCCATATCAATCTCTAGCTCTACATTTTACAGCAAAGGCATGTTGAATCAAGTCACAACCACAAGCTAAGTCTAAGCACCAGTCAACACAAACTGGTTTAAGTACACTTAGCTATTACTCATCTCTAGCAACTAACAACTTGAACACAAGGTTGTATACTAATGGTACATCATACTTTCTCCTTCTGGATAGCTCTGAATAGAAGTAATTGTGATTAAACTTGTAGAATAAGGTAAAAACATTTAGAATAGTATATTTCATAACTAGTACCTCAAGTGGCATTTTATAATGCAATTTCATGGCAATTTTGGCTTTGCCTCACACAAAAACACCGCCTTGCATGTGAGAGTTATTTTCATGTACGAGGCTATGCCAAGAACGAGAATAATTGGAGCAAGTGTCAGAAAATCACTTTTGGTACAAGTTATGAACTTTTCATCACAACGCAAAATGCTCACACACAAAATAACAGACCTCAATAAAATTTAAACTATTAAATTTTCTAATTCTGATTATTTTATTAAAAAAAAAAAAAACTAAAAGGTTCTAGCAAACCTACTTAACAACTAGAAAATTAGAAGTTTGACTACAAGCTTAAACATAGCAAAATTAGTGTATGCATATTTAAGGTCATGTATTCAACAATAAAAACAGCTGATTTCAATAATAGAAATGAATTGTAAACCAACAATAGCATGTGTAGTGGTGATGTGTCTTCTAATATGTTCTATATGTTTGATTAATACTATATGTTATGTTTAATAAGTTCACTAAGTTTTTGTTTGCATGCATTGTTATTTAAGTTTAATTTCATAATACACTTATTTTACTTAACACAACTTTTATTTAATATGTAACAAGTGGGCAAATGGAGAATTGATTGAGAGCAAGGTAATGTAAATTTAGAGCAAATGAAAATCAGCCGATTGCTTTTCCCTTGCTCTAAATTAGAGCTTGGGAATCAAATTGCCTTCTTAGATATCGGCTGTTATCGGAAATAGCTACTTTCTTTACGGTGTGATGAAATAGTATACATTACATTACTAGTTCTAAAGGTGTTTTACCGGGCGAGTGTTGTCGTTCCTGCGCGAGACGAAGTTGAGTGTAGGATTCTATACGAGTCCAGTAAACACATTTTGGACGAGTTAAGTACAATGTTTTTCGCCACAATACTCTAAGCTAACCTATTAAAAAAATGTACAAATCCGTTATATATTCCCACTGACTAAAGGACTAACAATCATTACTCATAAACTCCTTACATATGTTTTTGTTTATAACCACTCACTGCCAATTATAATCAGCTGGTGTCCAGTAAAAACTCATTACAGTACAGTAGTAAGTAATGAACCCCTTTTGATTAAGCAGCCTGCAAACAGCTGTTTTCCGGACTAAATCCTTGCGTGGAAAGTTTGTTTAAACAGAGTAAGTTAGTGTGTCAAAAACTCTGTTACATGAAAACATGAATGAGTTCCAATTTCAGATAAAGTGATAAAGTCTTGTACATGTTTTACACATAACAAATTACTTTGCTTAATTATTCAAATCCTATTATTGTGATTTTACCATCCTTGTGCCTCTCTCAGATTTAGGTATCTATCTATATATTAATAGGCAAGCATGTTTCTTTAAAACCTTTTTTCTCAGCTCGTGTGCATCGTAGGGAAAATCTACGCATACCGTTAGAAAGCTATTTTCCTGTAGGTGTGCAGAATCCCTTTATAAATTTAAATAGGCTCAAAGATAAGCGCAAAAAATGAGTTTAAAAATTTGAAAAAATTTACATGGATCTTATGCGTTGCCATGCTGGTGACGAAATAACAACGAAATATAAACAGAAAATCAAAACAAATGGAAGAAACTCCAATCACATGTTTTATTTACAGTGTGGGGTGAAACATTAACATAAGTGAGTGTAGGAACATATAGGTATAAGTGAGTACATTACATATTTTTGGTCGAGTTTCGACCACTGGACATTACTCGTTTAGTTTAATATAATGCTTGTATGTAAAATAAACATAAGCTGGTGGACCGAAGCTTCTATGCATCAAAGGAGGTAACAAAGGATTTCCTCTATTTCGGGGGTATTAAAGATATAATTTAATATTGATGCATTTGAGTAGACGAATTACAAATAAATAAAAAATATTGAAACCTGTAATATATAAGAACAAGAACCAAATATATAAGAAACCTAAGGCAATAGTGTTAGAATCAAACATTTACTATCTTACTGTTTAAAAGGTAAAAAAGACCCTCTATACTCAGTAATTAATTTATGAAATTGAGATTTCTGATTCATGGCTAGTTTGAAACGAAACTTAAAGCTACGCGCGCACTACGGCGGCACGGCACAGACGGGCGGTTCGGCACGGACGGCTTTTTTAAGATGGGGTGTGCGCACTAGGGCGGCACGGCACGGACGGACGGGACGGGACATCCGCAATTTAGGACAGTTGACAGTCTGCAAGCTAAAACTTATGAGTAAAGATGGATGTAGATAAAGTGGTGATAGGAGGTTTAATTTTAGCAGAGGAAGAGGAGACAAGAAGGCGGAAGCAAAGGTTTTGGATGAACCACATACAAATGAAAAGACTGAGTTTTGGAGAGTTCCACACCTCGTTTCCTGATCTTGTAGAGAATATTGTGTAACACCAAAAAAACCTACCTGATTGTTTCATAATAGATCATATTTCTGCCTATATATTTTCACGCCGAGCGTAATTAAAATATTCCGGATGTCGCATGTCGTACAGTTTCGGATATTTCTCAACCAGAACAATCAACTTACTAACATCTATGTTTACAACACACGAAAACATTGCGACTTTGACAGAGACCAGTTGAGAATGGCAGAAGTCCCGTGCCGCCTGACCGGTCGGTGTGCAGTGCTCCCGGTCGGTACGGGCGGTACGGCAGCTCGGAAATGTCCTAGAGTTCTGTCTCCCGGACTTTTTAACAAACGGCGGAAGCTGCCGAACGTCCGTTGCCGGCCGTCCCGCCGTAGTGGGCGCACTCATATTACGTTCAATGTTATTAACTTTTAAAAATTGCCGTGCCGGCCGCCTGTCCGTGCCGTGCCGCCGTAGTGCGCGAGCAGCTTAACACTTCAATAAACCATAAACTCATGAGAATCAATCAGTGTTCATGAAAATAAAGGATTCACATCACAGGACACAGGTGTGCTTTTGTTCGTAATTGAAAACTCACAAAGCGATAGGCTAACAAACATACTACCCTATGCAATATGCTCTGTACTAAACACAGTTTATATTCATTCATACACTGTGCCACACACAACAGAGGCAAAGCAACATGTTTAAGTATTGGTGGGTTTTCTACCTAAAAACAAGATTCAGGCACAGTTCTAGATCAAGCGTCTTACCTTTTTTTGTAAGATGAGCATTAACAACATAATGTTGATGTATCATTTACTCTTTGTCTTCACATACATATATTTACAAAAAGATACTATGTCATATAAAATCTGTCGATATGTTTCATAGTTATAAATAAAATGTAAGCATTACATCAAGGTTTACATACACTTTTATTGTTCTTAGGTTTAAAAGTAACTTAAATCAAAGAAAACACAATCATTTTTATTTTGAGTCCTGTTCAATTAAGAATTTAATCAAAACCATTAAATTCCTAAAAATACAGTTTTTATAGGTGCTTAGTTATTAAAAATACATTGTTAAATAAATATTTATCAATGATTTTGAAGCTCATATTTTATTTGACTGCAGTGCTCACAATTATTGTTCCTACTTAACTTTTATTATCTATTATTTTGTTTCATGGACCAGTAGCAAAATAAAGAGAAGGCACTTCTAAAGTTAACCAAACGTTTGTCTAGAGGTGCCAAGTGAAGAAGTAGCTACCGTACCGTATGTCGAGTACTACATGCAATACTCTACTTGAGCTTAATGTCTTGCCAAAAAACTCAGTGGCCTAAGTTATTGAAAGAAGATACTGTATTCATTTCCCTAATGACTAAGTAAATTTTACTTGGAAATGTTCTTGAGACAAAATAATTATTGTTTATATTCAATTTAATCATACAGCAAACCAGAATACTGGTGAGTGGTGACCCTGATGAGACACATATAGCATTGACAATACGACCACTTGCATATATTTTTCGATGTACCATGGTAAGCGTGATAGCAACTAACAAGTTTTATTTATATATTTCAGTCATCATTTTACATATCATAAACAACGCTCTCAGCGATAAGGATATCATTTTTAGAGTTTTGTTTCTACAAGAGGTATGGTATATATACAATATTAAGACCCAATGGGTTTTCGGTAAAAAAAAAAAAAAAAAATACCTATTGATTTGGCATGAACAACATCAAAATGAGTTTTTACAGAACAATGATGTGTTCTTTAGAGATTCTGACTATTTGCTAACGAAACTGCTGATTAACAAGATCGGTACAGCTTAATCACTCATGTAGTTGTTAGGTATTCAATTAAGTTTTTTTTCTCTTATCTAATGATGATAAAATACTTAATGTATAATACTTATAAATATCCAAAAGTGGATTTAATGTGTAACAATAGATAAAATACCATGATATTGAACAATGTTTCAGGAAGATACATATAAATCATTAGGTAAAAGATTTTTTGTTAAATATACGCAACACTATCTTAAAACTAACGAAAGACATAACAAACACATAATAATGTGTTCCCATACATTCATAAGGAAAGCTGTATTAAGGAGAAGATATATATATATATATAAATAACACTTAAAAGTAAAAATTACGAGGTAATAAAGTATATACGTAACACTGGGTATCTTAAAAGAATCAAATAACTTTGGATTTGTAAATTTGATATCACATAGGTAAGGAATACAAAACTTAACTTAAACGGCAATAAGTCGACTTTTACACTTGGACTTTTTCCACCTTTCTTCGAGTTTTACATTTTCTGAAACGATATGATCCATAGTAACAGTTTGTTTGTTACCAACTTTTTCAACAACTTTTCTCGGATCGAGATTTGCCCCAAAGTTTTGAACCCCTTTGGCTAATTTTGAAAAAGGGGATAAAACTGTGGACGGGCTAGTTAGGACAGTTGTAGCTGTCGCTCTTATTGATTTGATCGCATTTTCACTCTGAGAAGCAGAAATGCCCAAGGACAGCTCCTTTTGGGAGCTTCCTCGATCCCCATCCACAGCTAAGTGATCAACATCTGATCTTTTATCATTGTTAGAATCAACTTCACCAGAGGAATGTGAAAGCTTTCTTGATTTATCCAACACTTCATTGGTGGACAATCTCTGTTGATCTTTGTTCTCTAGAGGCAAATCTTTAGGAGGTTCCATTTTTATTTTCTCTTTCTCAACAACTATACCGGGTGTACCTTGTTCCCCCTTTTGACTTATTCTGGACACATCGATGTTGTTATCCGTCACAGAATGTTGGAGAGGATACTTTTTAATGTTGACATCTTTATGAACGATCTGTTTGAGAGATTCTTCAGTGATGTTAGGAGCGTGCTGGGTCATTTCTACAGGTTTGATGTCTGCATTACTCATGACAATGCCTACATTGGGTATGAAGGCTTCAGTAGATTTTTGACGTCCAAGTTTGTCATCAGCTTTTCCAACGACAACGTCATCGTCGTCATCATCATCTTCGGTACACTCTTTGGCCTGTTCCACACCCAGAGTGAATGTGGCTTTAGCCTCAGTTTGCTAAACACAATGAAAAATGTGGTTAAAATACAAGTTGTTTAGAATAGTAATACATCATTTACTTTCTCTGTGATTGAAATACCATGTTAAAAGCAGTAGGCTATTTAAAAGTATCATTATGTGGGAAGGAAATATTTTTATTTTAAAATCTTAACAGGAAAAAATTACAACAATTGTATTCCATAGCACTCAAAATACAATCAAATCATACATTAATTATTTTTAGCAAATTTCCCAAATAGTGCAAGCAAATAAGTCCAAATAAGGAAAAATAGAGGAACAAATCTATGTATTCCCAATTTTTTCAAAAATGTGTCGGGGAGGGTCCCCTAATGAATATATGATAGGTGAGAATAAAATCACCCTGCCGCTCTCTGGTGGTGGGAGGTGTAAATGCCCCAATTTGCGGTTTTTTGCTTATAACTTGAAAACAGCGTGTCGTAGCTTAAATTGTTCAATGTAAAAGTTAAAGCTTATTAAATTTGCTACAACTTTGATCGTATACATTATTAGTGAAAGACGCATAGTTTCTGAGATATCCGCGCTCAAAAAAATATAACGTTCGAAAAAAGATTTTCATCCCACATTTATCGTTAAAATCTTATTTGTTTCTCCTTCCTTGTTATTTTTTAGAAATATTGACGTAAAGAAGGTTGTAGAGAATTAAATTTACTTCAATAATATATACAAATATGTAAATAGATAAGATGTAGGTATAAAGTTGCAGCGTTTTTAAGATTAAAAGAGAAAATCATGAATTACAGAAATAGTTACAAAGTTTTGATTTTTTATCATTGCACGATTTGTATGGTTTCAGATGATTGTTTAGGCCTGATGATTGTTTAGGTATAAGTATATTTAAGGAAAAAAAATTTAATAGCTATGTAAATAACAATTTGACAAGAAATAAAAAGGTTATCTATTTATTTTGATGATCCAAGTTAAAACAATTAAAACATACAAAATAAATTCATATTTAATTATAGAACTAATGTTGACTGAGCCTACTGAATGTGAATCCAGGCGTGGATGCAGAAAAAATGGCATCCACTGTTCCCAGGTATGTACCTGCGAGGGAGCTTGCCTGAACCATGCAACAACAATGTGAAGATGATGAGGAAGAAGACAATGAAAAGGATAAGATCAATCTTTATCATGACATGAATTTGTGATGTATTTCTCAGTGGCAAGAACTAGAATATTTAATTATAGAACTAATGTTACCTTAGCCTTTATTTTTGCAAGAACAAAGGCTCAGTCAACATTAGTTCTATAATTAAGTATGAATTTGTTTTGTATTTTTTAATTGTTTGATCTTGGATCATCGTAATAAATAGATAACCTTTTTATTTTGTCAAATTGTTATTTACATAACTATTACCAATTTTTACCTTAAATAAACTTATATTCGGCCTAAACAATTATCAGAAACCATACAAATCGTGCAATGATAAAAAATCAAAACTCTGCAACTATTTATGTATTTCATGATTTTCTCCTTTAATCTTAAAAACGCTGTAACTTTATACCTACATCTTATCTATTTACATATTTGTATATATTATTAAAGTAAATTTAATTCTCTACAACCTTCTTTCCGTCAATATTTCTGAAAAATAACACAGAAGGAGGAACAAATAAGTTCAAACAAAAAATGTGAGATAAAAATCTTTTTTCGAACGTTATATTTTTTTGAGCGCGGATATCTCAGAAACTATGCGTCTTTCACTAATAATGTATACGATCAAAGTTGTAGCAAATTTAATAAGCTTTAACTTTTACATTGAACAATTTAAGCTACGACACGCTGTTTTCAAGTTATAAGCAAAAAACCGCAAATTGGGGCATTTACACCTCCCACCACCAGAGAGCGGTAGGGTGATTTTATTCTCACCTATCATATATTCATTAGGGGACCCTCCCCGACACATTTTTGAAAAAATTGGGAATACATAGATTTGTTCCTCTATTTTTCCTAATTTGCTTGGGCTAAAAAAGGGAACTGCTATTACCATACTGTAGGTGAGAGTTAAGCAGTCCTCTGAGCCAGAGCAATATGCAGCAATACCCCTTAAGAAAAAAATATTTTGGCCTATAAAAAATTATAAGTTTCTCAAAGCTAGATCCTTGCAAAATCTTATCTGCTAGCAAAGTTAAAAATTGTTTATGTTTTACAAAGTTGAAATAACAATTATCATAGGTCTTTTGAAAATACATTGTTATCATTAGATTGTCTATTTATTGTCATGTCATAAATAATATTTACATTATATTTACAGTATATTATCTACTTCATTAACTTATATCTGTAAGTTTCAACTCAAAGTTAGGCTAAACTTTGAATAAGGATTTCTTTGAACTTTTAAAATTTAAGGTAAGAAAGAGATTTAGTGAAAATGCCACCCAACTGTTCATCAGACCTACAGTATTGGAGTGCAAACAGGCCTTCATGAAATTGTTCACTTATGAAGTAATAGCGTACATCAATGAGTTTGCTTCTGTGGTTCATTTGACCAGATTGAATCATTTTCATTGTGCTTTGATTGTCGTGTTATTTTCACTGGCTTGTTAGTTAGTTAACTAATTAGTGTTTTCAAATATTTTAGATCCTTGCAGCATTCAGAAGCGGAGATATATTCTGCTTCTGCTGTCAAAAGTGCTAAAATGAGCTGTTTTCATGACCATATCACAGGTCCACTTGCGAACATGATTACATATCCACTTGTACTTTTAGCGAATTTCCCATATAGGGAATAAGCTATTACCGTAGTACTCATGGTAAGACCTGGACGCGGGACCGATTTTTTTTTTCGTTTTGAGGTCCCTAGAGGCCAAAAACACCATCCGTTCAAATTCATATATATATATATATTTATATATTTATATATTTATATATTTATATATATATATATATATGTGTCCGTCAGCACGATAACTCGAGCAAAAATGATCCGATTTGGATGAAATTTGGTACAAATGTGTAAACGTACGTTTATTTGAACGAGTTCGCGATCCAGCATGATCGGACCATGGGAACGGGGGTTTACGGGGGTTTTTATGGGGTAAAAATAGGTTTTTCCTATTTTTGACCCAAAAAACATAAAATTTAGCAATTTCTTTCCAAACCATTTTGTAGAGCTTAAAAAAACAAATAATTTAGTATATTGAAGCGTTATTATGTGTCTAATAGTTACGGAGAAAATTCCAAAAAATTGTAAATTTAAAATTCCCATGTTATTCTTATGGGGAATAAGTAAACTGTTGTAGTTTGCTTGTTTGTGAACATATTTTGATCAAATTTGGAAAATGTTTTTATTTCTCACTACCTATTCACATTTTACAAAAAAAAAAATGTTTTACCCTCCTTGATGCAGCAAACCTAAGTACTTGTTAAACTAATTCTATTTAAATCAAGAATAAATGTTATATTTTTAAGTAGACATTTCAGTGTAAATCCAATCAGTCAAATGGAAATTCGCTTAGTCTGCAGGTTTGCTGCGGCGGGGGTATTTATGTCTTGAGTGTCTCCTGCAAAATCAGAATCACAATAAGCATTCAGCTCAATTTTGTCACACTTAACTTCTTTGCAATTTTTCATATTGAATCTACCAGAAAATTGTTTTGCGTACTTTTCTTGACTGTTTGAAATTCCATCCCTGTTACATTTGTTCTACATCCCTAAACTTTTGTATTCGGACTTATCGTCCATCTCAAATTCATCTTCAAGTTGTGTAGTAGGTTTGCTATTTTTTCATCATTTTTACTAATCAAAATGCCATCATCTACGTATATTGCTAAGTACAGGTCGTTTTCAAGGTTCTTAAAAATACACTGATCTGACTTCAGTTGTGTCGTTTCTTCACTTTTAAGAAATTAAGTAAATTTCATGTTCCACAAGCATTGTGCCTGTTTTAAACCATACAATGATTTATTTAGTTTACAGAGTTGACCTTCTGGTATGAACTTATATACACATCTTCTTCCATTATACCATACAGAAATGATGTTTTTATGTCAAATGTTTGTATATGAATGTTTTCTTGTGCTGCTATATCAAGACAAGAAGTAATCTTAGAGAAGTAACTGTCCACTACAGGACGGAATATATCTTTGAAATCTATTTTCCATTTTCACAAAAAAATTATATTTTTGGTTTCTTATTACAGGTTCTTCTTCATCAATTTGTTCAATTTCTTCTTGCTTTAGGTCTTCTGGTTCCTGTTTGCGTTCTTCTTCATTTTCAGGTAGTCTCTTCTTCTTCTAGTTCTTCACTTTCATCTAGTTCAGCTTCTTCTTTAACATCTTGTCGATCATCAATTTTAGGTTTAGTAGTAAAGCACACTGTTCTTTATAAAAACCACATTTCTTGAAATGATTATCTTTCTTTTCTCTTGGTCCCACATTCGGTATCCATTTAAGGCATAACTAACAAATATTACTTTCTTGCTTCTTTTGTTGACCTAGCGACTTTTACATTAAAACAAATTATTATCAACACAAAATTACAAAATAAAATGCTTTCCATGATAGATGCCTATTTTACTGTTCACCACTTTATTCTTCATTGTTGCATTGGGTTACTAATAAGATTGACTCAAACATCTGGTCTTCTTCTATTATAGGCAGGCTTAACTACCAATTTTATTTAACCTTATTGTTGATTTTTATATCACTAGTACTGTTATGATATCACTTATCAATTTACATGGAATATCACATCTATCTTTTTCCTTCCACCATGGGCTAATACTGTACTGTAATATATATATATATTCAATATTCATATAGGCCCCTATGTGTCTTTCTTTATTATTATTTATTTATAGATGAATTCACGAACCAGAATGATTGGACAATAGGAATGGGATTTTATGGGGTGAAAATTTGTTTTTCTCAAGTCTGGCTCTCAAAATATAGAATTTCCCAACTTCTCTTTCAACCATTTTGGGAAGAAACCAATAATTTAGTAGTATGCCTACCTTTATTTGTGTTTGTACAGG